CAGTGCCGCTGCCACCGCGCGGCCGGCTATACAGCTTCGAGCACGGTTCCGCAGCGGTGGCATGGGGAGGTTTTGTACGCAGCAGCCGTCACTGCTGGCACACAGCTGCCGCTTACCTTTAGGGCTGTGCCAGCGGTGACGGCCACTGCATATGGAACCTCCTTGTGCCGCCACCACAGAGCCATGCTTGGAACTGTAAGGCCAGCTACATGGCGGCAGCAGCACTGTGGTGGTGGCCGGGGGAAGCTGGTGGGGATGGCTGCATGCCACCCGGCCCCCACCACACTGCTGCTGCCCCCTGTGGCTGGCCGCACAGCTCTGGGCACTGCTCCGCAGTGGCACGGGGAGGTTTTGCAGGCAGCAACCGTCATCGCTGGCACAGCCCTATAGGTAAGCAGTAGCAGTCACCGCGTGTGAGGCCCCACCATCCCTCACCGCCGCTGCAGAGCCAGCCCCGGAGCTGTGCAGCCAGCCTCATGCTAGCCTCAGCCTCCCCCTCCCTTGGGCAGCCGGCCGGGTGGTACATGCTCCCCGCATCACTTACCCACAAAGCCCCTGCAGTGGGGCATCCCTGCCCTCACACCCCGGCCCTGCACCTGACTGCGGTTTGCCGCCCGGGGGCAGCAGCACCCCCCACTCTCTCAGCCCCCAGCCACCTTCCCCAGCCCTGACCCATAGCCCCCAAGCCCCATGTACCTCTAGGGTCCAGGGGTGAAGGGCAAGTCTGAGCCTGAGCCCAGCCTTGGCTGACTCAGAGGCTCAGGCCCCACTTTTACCCCTTTCTCTCCCCTTCCCAATAGGGCTGGGGATTTTCTGCCCTTTCTGCAGTCAGCTCTTGCAGGCTTGTTCCAGCCTGCAAGAGCTCTCTACAGAAGCAGAGAATCCACAGATTTCTCTGCTAAAAAGGGAAATCTGAGTTTTCTCTGATTAAAAACAGGGAATCTGTTATTTTCTCAATTTTTCTGTGGGAAATGGAAAACCCAGATCCCTGGTGATAACCCTGCGCAGCATCTTGGATCAGGGAATTTCCAATGGGCTGAATGAAAAGGATCTTCCAGTTGCTTGTTTCTTGGCCTGCCCCTGAATCCTAGAGTTCTAAAAGAGGGTGAATAGTAAACCCCTAATTCCTTCCTCCGTGCCATTCAGGATTCAGCAGACCTCTGTCATGTTCTGTTCTCCCTCCCTATCCCACCCCACCCCATCAGTAGTCTTTGCTGTAAGATGGAAGTCCTGGCCTTCTCTGCCATTCATCCAGACATTCTCTGGATGCCGCTTACCTTGTTTTGTTCCTTTTTTTATAAGAATTACCTTGGCTAATCCAGTGGTTATTAACCTTCTTAGACACGAGGCAGCCATTGGTTGACTCATGGCGCCCCTCCATACCCTTTGTGAATGGAGAAGTACCCCAATTCAAAAGTTTATTTATTATGGGGCTTATCTTCTTGCAGAGGGTCCAGGCACTATGGACAGGGCAGCAGCTAGGCAGGGATGAGTCTAAGCCTGCACTTATCTCCTTGCACCTGCTTATTGTTACACTGTGCAGCACTCTTCAAAAGATCTTATACAACTCCAAAGTGCCCTGGCCCATGGTATAGACTAAGCTTGTTGTGCCACCAGAAATTCTTCCAGTTGTCAGACTAGACATTCTGGTGGCAGATAGCAGCTGTCCTGGCAGCGTCACTAGAGTGCTTATACCCAGGGGAACTTTTGGTGGCTTTGCATGGTTTCACAACAACAGGGCTTATAGAGCATGAAGCGCACCTGGGAAAGGCTGCTGAAGGGACAGCAGCAGTCATCTGGTGGCTTGGCAGTGGCTCATGTGTGCCTTCTCCTGTAGGGAGGAGCATTGAGTGTCAGCTTGTATATTAAGTCTGTATGTTACTCATTACTGTGTACATGTTGCTCATTCTTGTGTACCCATCGTAATTTCTATATTCTTCGTCCTCAATCCTCACTTGTCCTCTGACCACCTTCTTTGTAAATCCCACTTTATATAATCTTTCATAATTAAAGGTCTCCCATTTTTTTTTGTATAGTTGCAGACACAACAATAGTTGTGGTTAAAGAGAGATTTTCCTTCTAGATTCTCAGCTTCAACACACAACTCTCCCACAGTAATCTAAATCAAATAAATGGGCTATTTTTTCTGTTGGAGTAGTTTTAATGAATAGATTTAAAAAAACAGTGATGGTGCTTTTAAAAAGTCTGCTTTAAATACAGTGGCAAAATTCTGTCTCATAAGATG